GACACTCAGGGCTGTTATTTCAAAGGTGTTAAGTGTGCCCTCCCTCACTCGCAATTAAATCTAAACCTAGCAACAGTGGCAATTAAATGTTTTCACAAGTGTCACGTGAAGAATGCAACCCGAGACTTTAGTTTCCTTCAGCCTCGTTAGCTGACCTAACAGATACTGGACAAAAACCTTAAGATAACTGATAATTGACTGGCTGATTCAGAAAGCCATGAAAATTGATACTACAGTGGAAACATGTCATGAACCATTTAAGCACTCTTTTGACTGGGGCTAAAAAAAATGTAGCAATGCACCATCCTACTTGAGGGTCTTGGTTTGGTGAAGACCACAGCCCTCAGTATTGTTCCATCCGTGACCGTGAAGGTTTGCAAAATGTTTGGTAGAGGGGCTTCTGGATCCACCATAGCAGAAACCAAATATTCATCTACTGTCTTCTACACAAACTCAACAGCAGGTCAGGTATAAAAATTATCAAGTGCTGACCAGTAATGGATGTGCTGCACAAGGTTTTGTTTGGTGGAGTGCTGACTGTTGTTTGTGCTATTAAATTATTAAATCTTAACTTTGTATTCTGAATACAATATCTTTGTATTATGGACAAACCAAAACCAAAAAAACATATTTCCCCAGGCACAGCAGAAAAATCTTCTGACTCCTTAATACTGTTCTCTTATTAGATAAAGGAAAAACCGTCTCCTAATGATAATAATCTATTTATTCATTTTTATTGGTAAAGCACCTTCTGTAAAGGACACTTGGTTGAAAGTTAAAACAATCGGCAGCCCGAAAGACCTGAATTTTATTATATTTTATTGCACTTCTATCAATTTCAATCCGTCATTTTATTAGGGGATTAAAACCAATCAATCAATGTGGTATGCGGACGTGTAGTGAGCACGGCTCAATAAATGTTTCCTCCTTTTGAGAAATGGCAAGATTTACACATTTACTTTTTTCTAAACGGCACTGTAGCTCCAAAAGGGCCTTTAAAACGTACTGAAAGACACCTTCTTCCCAGCAGGAAAGACCTCAAGAAGGACTGTTAAAGAATGACATTTCAAGAGGTCAGCATGTCCTCAGAACAGGAAAAGGCGCACAACGGGCTTTGTGGTGCAGAAAATTCATCATTCTAAAAGGTCAAACATCTATCCAATGGATGAATGAAAAACTCTTATTTGTCATTTTCCCCACTTTTTTGGGCGGATTTCATGTCACTTTTCCAAAATGCTGTGCTCAATTGTCCAAGGGCTCATAAATATAGTATATTTATTTATATTGTGTATTTAGAATTTATAATACAGCCTAATCACATTACCAAGACTACACATACCTACTGCAGACCTTCTGGAAATGGAGAGGAAAGCACTGGCCCAAACACAAGTGGTCTACAAGGTAAATTGGTGTGTACACAGGTGTTCCCTGGTGTCCCATTTTGGGTCTGGTTTGACCTACCAAATTATAGTAGAAGCTCATCATTGCACTTGTTGGGCCTAATCTGTGGTAGTAGTTCAGGTAGGTAGCTGCGTCAGCATGTGTCAGCTGCAAAGGAACAAGTAAAAGGTTTATTCCATGCTGAAAAGAGAAGAAAGAAAACGCAATGTTTTGGCCGTGGGGCCCACGCCTGAAGAAGGCTCCACAGCCAAAACGTTGCGTTTTCTTTCTTCTCTTTTCAGCATGGAATAAACCTATTACTTGTTCCTAATCTGTGGTAGAGCAGTAATCAGGCATTTTCTTTGAACTCTGCTGAATAAGAATCAATGAGTAACAGCTCAGAACAGGCATTCGACAAAGCATCTATTATCAAGATACTGTCTGTAAAATGCCTTTGCCCAAGAAAAGTTAAAAAGCCGTGCTTTGTAATAGCTCACAGAATACTCCTATAACAATTTCTTTAATTGCTTATCTCAACTCAACCCAGCATAACCTAGAGCTATGACAGTGGGAAGTATATCAGCTCAACAGCAAGTGCTGAGAAACGAAAACAAGACATTGATATTGCTAATAAGCAATATTAGCAAATTAACATTGCTTAACTTTTATTGCAAGATGGGGTTGCAAGCTTTCTTATACCGTAGTATGAGAAATCACCTCGCTGCTGCATGGAGGGGCTGAGCTTTTGTGTCGTGGTTTTGGTTTTCTAAAAGCTTGTGATAAAATAGGCCATAGAGTTGTGCCAGAGAGCTCCTTCCAGCTCCTTTTCACCACCCAATCCTACACTTGTGATGTTTGCTAAATTCTGTCTCATTTTATTTATTGCGCATCTCATTGTAGAATACACCTAGAATACAGCTGTACTATGTGTATACAGTTCAGTAACTGCTTTCAACGCACAATGGGTCACAGCATCAGCTAAGGAAGTCGGCAGCAACAAGAATAATAAACAGTGTGAGGAAAGAATATACCAAAATGCATCACTAATGGGACGCCAAAACACTTCTGGATTTGTATGCATTTCTAACTGATTTCCGGTTTTATCTTTAACTGTAATCATTGAGACTGCTTTTTGATCATTATGGAAATACATTTTTGATAATCTTTTATAAATTACTTTAAGATCTCTTACATAACTGACTTGCAAGCATTTGGCAGTATTGTGGTATACTAATGTAAGCAATGACAGAGTGACTAATTCAAAACCAATAAGCTGCTGAAAGTGAAAGGAAATTAACCCTGTATGACAGACCCACTGTGGCGCTGCTGCATTTCAACTCATTAAACCGGTTTTATTCAGCTGATGGTGGTGTAAGTACAGAACAATGGAAAAGAACTTCCTAGAATCATCTACAAATATAGAGGCCAGGAGCACAGAACGTAAGAATAATCAATTTGAACACAAGAAAAAGACTTCAAGAAAGTACTCACGGTGCATTGAATTTCAAGTAATACGGATTGCTTACTTCTTTACATTCGGATTTTAAGGTTTCTCGATCACATTTAACTCCATGCAAACGCCAAAAGCTGTCAAAGTTTGAGTCATGCCACAATTTCCTACCATTTTCAGGAACTTATGAAAGGTAACAATTCAGTAGAGGCTATTTTCCACATTTTGTTAGGGTGTGGTCTTTGTGTCTTTCTTTTTACATTTTAATGAAGTGTACAGTCTGAGACTGCAAGACTCTTTGCCACCACCATATGCTGAAGCACATTTACCTACTGGATGTACACTTCACCCACGGCAGATTGCCAGCCCAGTTTGTTGAAGTCTTCACTGTTGGCTTTGTATAATATCATCCCAGAAAAACACAGATGAAAACTTTTCGCAGTCTGCCCACCAGGTGAGGCCTATCAAACCGGAGTATGACATCAACACCACCATCTTT